ATATATATATATATATATATATATATATATATATCATATCATGTATATATCATATCATATTACTGTTCACGTCACTACAAAAGGACATCATGGTCTTAATTATGTAAGTTTTTGTGATTCTCAATGAAACTTTGTTGAATCTTTTCAATGTAGAACAATAGTTTAAATTTTCTGAGATAATTAGAAATACAATAATACAATATCTTTTAAATGTTCTTTAAATTTTGCTTAACTTTGATTTTTGAACAAATTTGATATTACTTTTAGTAATAATCTATAATTTAAACTTTTTATAATTTCTGCATTTTTCAATTAAATTAAAAATATATTATTAAATATTTTCTGCACCATGTATTTAATAAATCATTGAACAATGAAAATCATTTTTCAAAAAAAGCAAAGCATAGCGACTTTATAGAATTAATAGTTCATTATTGCTATGCCAAACAAATAAAATTAATAAAAAGTTTGCAATTGCAATTTTTATAAAGTTAGTTGCAATATTAATAATTAAAATGAAAGTTTTAGTCTTAATATTAATTAATATAATAAATGTAAAAAGATCACTTAATTAAATACACAATACACTGGGCACGTTATACATTTATTAAAGCATTTTACACAAAAGCCCTTACCTTTCTTCTTGTGGATGCGATTGGCTCGGACCTTCGCCAGGATCAGATTCCTCCTTATTGCCATTTGTAGCTGATCTGTTACAGCGAGCACATTTACTACTAGCATCTACGTATTTTATATTTGTTACGAAATCACTAAAATCAATTTTATACTTACACACATTTTTAAAAGGTGTGTTTTAGTTACTTTTCAATAATATATTCTACTAAGACATCAAAGAAGCATAAATTGCTATAAGTGCGATTGATTTCAACTGATTTTGGAATATGCTTTGCGACAATAGCAAGAAAATGATTCTTTACCGCAATTTTTTAAAATAATAAATAACATTACTTTATTACAGCCACAAAAATGAGTAATAAATATATCTTGTAATCCAGAGATTATCTATTTATTTATAAATATGTGTAAAGTTTTAAAAAATGTTAAAAGATTGAAGTTGAAATAATTACCGTGTTGCATAATATATATATATATATATATACAAGAATTAATATCTACGTAAAGTAAAATAATATTTGAATTATTATATTTGCAAATAGCAATACAGAAACAATACAATACAGAATATAAATAATTAATACAGCTACATATTTACAAGCTACTCCTGATAAAATAAAATGATACAGAAATAATTAATAGATATAAAAGCAGAACTTTCTATAATTAAACAATAAGTGATATAAATTCGTCTAAATTCGTCTAAAGGAAGCAAACAAATAACTCACAATCTTTGTGGAATTAATAGTAACAAATATACAATTTTCTGAATTTCAATAAATAAATATAATGCATTTTAATTTTATGATTGAAAAATTTTATTATAGCACACTTACCGTTCTTGCATTAAAGGTATCGGTTGCCACATTTGAGTAATTCCTAATCGCATTCCCATTTTAAAATCTGGTTTTGCCTAAAAGTAATCGAGTGTATTATCGAAAAATATCATGTATTACAATATGATATTTAAAGCTAATTTTTTAAAATAATGATCTATACCTTTAGGAGTTTTTTCTCTTTCGCTAAAACTTTGCGAATGTATCTGTAATCGTGCGAGAATTGATTTAGATATTTCGTCATTGAAGTTAGAGTACTGTTAATTATCACCAGGAGAAACTTGAAGTATGTGGAAAATGAGACTTTTTTTGTTCTTCTTTCTTCTCATCACTCTTACTATCCGTTTTCTCTTCTTCCGCGTCTGAAGGTTCTGGTGTTTTAGCTAAGTCTGTAACTTCTTTTTCTTCTGTTTCCATTTCTACTGAAGTAAGACTCGTTCGATCGGGACCCTAATTAATTTTATAGTAAGTTTTGTATATTGAAAAATATTATTTAGTGCTTAAATCGATTATGTGCTTGAAAATAATTAAATCTGTCGAGGAAAATGTGTAGGTGCGTAAAAGTGCATTGCACAGTGCATCGAAAAATTATCATGTTTTTATAAAAATCTTGAACAAAATAAAAGAACTTTTAAGCATTGCTATTATAACTAAATTTGAGTTGTAAAAATTTTGTAATTTTTAACTTAAATAATTCATAACATCGACAAGTTTTTATTATAATCAAGATTCATATTTTTCACTCTCGATTATTTAATTCATTATGTATATGTACTCTTACTGTACAATAAGCGTACAATAAGCGTATAATTACAAAAGCATATAGATACATACAAAATATAAAATAAGTCTTTATGGATATATATATTTATGGATACATATATATATATATATATATATGTGTATGTGTGTATGTATATATCCACTAGCGACGAAATATCTTGTCATAGCTGTTACAACACACATAGAAATTGATTAAAAATAAATAATGTTAAATGATGTGAAGATGACAAAGTCGGCAGCAAGACTTCGCTCCCAATATTATTTCTACAAAGCTGAGAGATTACAAGAGAAGAAGAAATATCACCGACCACTAAAAGCGTTGTATAAATATGAAAGAGTGATCCAATTGCTACTGTTATAGAATTCGTGCTGTGATTATTTTGTATTATGTGTTACTGCGTTAACTCGTATTTAATAAAGAAATAATAAATAAAAGTATAGCGGAAAGTTTTTGTTAAAATACAAATTAATTATATCTTTATAAACTGCATTATAAAGATTTGAAGAGAGATAATAATTATTAAAAAAATATAATAGAAATGTTATTGTCAAAAGTAATCCATTAAATCACAGCAAATTAATATAATTTGCAAAAGAAAAAAAATAATTCTGTATGATATCGAATAGATCGAAATATACAGGAAAAAGGACAGACTGCTTTACCGGACGAAAGCTATAATACAGTGATACAAGAAAAATATACTTCCAATAATATAGAAGTATAAAACGATCCATAGAAAGCGATAGCCAATAACTGAATTTTATTTAGGAGGCAATCTACATTTGATTTTTTAAGTAAGAAAATTAATAAAAAGAAATAAAAACTATTCATTTCAACATTTGTCGCAGTAAATGCAAAATTAAAATTGATTCTTTAAAAAAATCTAATGTAATTTTTGTTATTGGTAATGGTTATATGTTTTTGTATATATGATATATGGAATTAAATTTCTTGTATAAAAGAGTCAAGTATTGTACCAACATTGAGATCTGCCTTCTATTCAGCAATTCGGCTTTGGGGAGGTATTATGTACAAAGATAAAATCGGACGGTTACAGACGAATGCCTGCAGCGGTCATGCAGTCTTTTAAAGGGAATAGGGATGTCTCACATCGGTAGCCATAGCAGTGTCAGTCTCGGAGCGAGCGCTCAGATAGGACATGGATGATTTCTTCCGTGTCAAAGGTACACTTCTACGTCGGAGTCTCAGGGCGTCCTTTTCTGTTCCTCCGTACATGGCGACATGTGTCGCGACCTCAATGTCTGTTTTAATCAGCGTGTTCATCAACTGTAAGGAGACTTACGCGTCAGTTCCATCGATCGATTTCGTACCATCGTTGTCGGCTCGGATACATTGGTCCCTCCCGAGGAGGAAAGAGAAAGAGACAAAAAAAGGGCTGGCAATGTGATCGTAGACTTAGAGCGAAAGAAAGATATGGGCAATGATGACATATATGAGAAGAAATTTTGCAATCATCACACGAACAGATTCATCATTTGGTTTATAATGGTCCACTCGAAGTATTTCCGTAATATTTTTATCAGAAAATTTCAAGATATCTTGAAATAATTTTATTATCTTACAAATATGAAATTGTAATATACATATATGTACGCGAGTTTATAGATGCAATAATTAAATGCAAATTTCTCGTAAATATAATATTGAAATTAAATTTTATAATATTTTAATATTTTCCATGTAGCTTCGATGGACCATATTTTAAGTAAGGGATTAGTATATCTTAATAAAAAATCCTTAATTTTAGATCAACATTTCACAGCATAGTCACACTCAAGTTCATACTGAAATCCTCGAAAAACAAAATATTAAATAATAATATAATATATCTTTCTTAATTTTACTTACCTCTGATACAGTCATTCTCCTTCCTCGTCTCTCTTGTTCACGGCGACGTTCTTTTTCCTTCTTCTCAATCTCGCTGTCAGGGATAAGATCAGTGACGTCGTCGTCATCCAGATCATCAAACATGTAATAATCACCGGATCTGATCGCTAATTATAAAAATTAAGTATTGGTTATTATTAAATTATTACTCCTGCTATGAAAGCTAAAGCCATGCCACAAAAATGATGTAATTAACAAAAGTGCAAGGACATTTGAGTACAATTCGTGACTATTATGATATTGATATAACTATTATATCTCGTTTAGTAGAATAAGTAAACATATACAAAAATGTAACAATAAATTAACTACGTAACACGATTCATTAATCGTTAACTAAACTATACACGAATTTTATATTAGACTGTACACTTTATATACAAGTAAAAATAAGTCTAAAATGGGAATATCACTTGTTGGGAGAAGTCCAGTTGTAAAAAATGTACATTTACCCTCTTTGTTGGTCTTCGGCGAACGAACTTTGTACAACGGCCGTGTATATGGGTAGAGTTCATCTAATAGAGAGGCACAAAACATAAAATAAAGATGTAAAAACTGAAAGAAAATAACATATACATATTAATATTAAGCACAATAATATATTACAATTTTCCACATATATTACATTAGATTATTTAAAGTTGAGTCCTTGGATTCCGCTATTGATTGGATTGTTGAGAAATTATAATCTGTTGATAAATATAATTTCTCCATTGTTTATAAAAGAAACTTTGGATTCTTATGCATATAGATAACATAAAATTTAAAGATTTAAGGATTAAAATAATGATAGAAATAATGGTGATAAAAGATGTCAAAAATAATGAAATGATCATGGAAAAATGATATAATATGATAAAGTAACATAAACATAATGATAACATAATATAAACAAAATGATTAACAAAATAGAAACATATGAAATATTACATATTGATATTCATATATATATATATACATGAATGAGCAAATCTGTAATGTATATAAATGTAAGCATTCATATACAAGGATGCTTTTGGAATTAATTTTGTACGTATTTTATCATACAATATATTTCATTGTACAAAAATTTAAATATCGCTTCAAAGACAAAACAAACATCAGATGTTGTGAGGTGTTTCACAGAAGATCTAGATGTGCAAGAATGTGTAAAGAAGCATATGTACAGGACACTGACGACGTGGATGTTGTCGATGAATGATTTACACGTATGATGCGAAAGTGGCGAACGAGAGGCCATTGAGATGATCGACTGGCGTGGATTGTCACTTATCCACGACGGCCCGACTGGCAAGCTGGATTGACGCCGATGTCTCATGGAAGATGTTAGCGATCGATCGGCTGGGCCTCGATCGTAAGGCGGGGGTGAGAACACCGGAAATGTTTCATCCGGCGACGGTCCTCGAGGATTCAGTTCACTGCTGGGTGGTGAACCGAATGAGATACGTGCCGGCTCAAGATAGCCCTCGAGGCTGACCGTCATAACGGCAGAATTCGGCGTGGGAGCCTGTAATAAGGACGCCGCCCGTGGCGTCAATGGGGGTGGCTCATCGTCATTTTCGTCCAGAGGGGTTTGATATCCTTGTGGGGGTGTGTGACCCGAGGACACGCAAGAGCTTACACTGGAGGATCTTGCCAGCGGTGCTTGTCTCTCTTTTTTGATGCATTAAAGATATATCGAATGTTATATCGAACATAATGAGAATAACAGAGTGATAGCGATGTCGAAAAGAAATTATTAAAAAATAGTTCATAAAAATATTCTGTGCTTATTAGAACGTAACCCAAATGTTTTCAAAGAAAAGAATTTTTATTCGGTACCTAATAAAGATATTTAAAACTTCATTTCTTATTGCGCTTATTAAATTCAAATTTTTTTTTAGGCTTACTTTAGCAAAACAAATGTTTTTCAATGTCAATTAAAAATTATATAGCATATACTTTTTTTCGAAAAGATTGGCTTACCAATTTTGTGAGTTTCAGGTTTTTTATAAGATGGTCCTAGTATTCTCTGCTGATTGGCTTTAATTTTATCCATCTTGAACTTTAGTTTTTCTAAAACTGTCTTTTCCACATTTTCCTGAATTTCTATACGTTTCTGATGCAACTCTTCAAGTAGTTCCCCGCCGCGAGATGCTAGAATACTCATGGCTTTTGTTTCATCTATTATATGGAAGAAATAGTAACTCTTGAAAAATCGTTTTTGTATTAAAAGAAAGCTGAAGCATAATCCGTCCCAGACCATGCCGACGTCGTCAATAACGACAGTACATTTCGCGGGATCCAACATTGGCTTGTTATGACCTTTGAACTTTTCCAAGCATGTGATATCCAATAATTGCACCAACCAGCAGGCTGAATGTTCAAGCTAGCATTAAAATAAATTAATGATTTTTTTCGTATTATTTTAAATAAAAAATAAAATAAAAATAAAAATTTTTAATAAATTTAATTATATTTAAACTGAATTTTATATATACATAAATAATAAAAAACTAAACATTAAGAAAAGCTTACGTCTTTAATGAGGACACAGCCCACACCCTGAAGAAGAGCTTTTGAGAAAATAACGATGACACTGTACCCAATCAATATATTCCACCATTTTAAAATAGTCTTCATTGGTCTCAAATAAAAATCACTTCCTTGCCAAAGAAATATAAATGCTCCAATGAGATAGCCGAGTGAAAAAAGATTCGATCTTTTCGTTCCTGCCAGGAACATAATGGATAACGTTATCCACATCAAACTCATCATACTACCACGTTTAATTATGTCCAGCCACGAGTGAATATGTGATACATAATCCTTTACAGGATTCACAAAATTTGGTTTTTCCATATCTTGGAAAACGGAGTAATTATGCCCAGCTACAAAATTCTTGCCAGGCTGTACATTTTGTTGTTCAATATGGAAGACTAAACTTTGTCGCACGATCATTATTAATAAGATAAAGTCACCTGCGTGCAAAACAAAAAAATATTTTATAAACATATTGTAAAGTTTTATTGTTAATATTTTAAGTTTTATCAAACATACAGATTAATTTTCGAGAATTTGGTCGAAAATCTGGATCAGGAAGATACATCCATTCCTGTAATCTTCTCATTTTTTCAGATTGGCCCCATGGATAATCTAAAGCAAATACAAAGAAAATTATTTATCATTCGCTTTATTTAATCTAAAAAATCATTTGCTTAAATATATATTACCTATACAAAGCCATGAAGGTGGAGCAACAACAATGGCATATTGAATTGGCAGAAGAATTATGGCGAAAGTTCTAAAGCAAGGCCAAATTCGCGCCACGGTTTTCCTTTTTAACGAGAAAAATAATAGCAACCACATGCTATATAATACAGAATAAAAATCTAATCTTGTGCCAATTAACGTAACAATTCCAATGAGACACATTTCAAGACCAAATTTATAGAAACCATAGTTAAAGAGAAATTTTAAGCATTCCGGTATTCCCTTGTCAGCATCCATTCTGGTAATGCTTGGAAACATCACTTGAGGAGTGTCCAATGATTCTCCTTTACTATGGCGATAGAACCATTGACGGACTCTAATAATTTTCCTAAAAGTAGTCACAGTGACGATGCCAATGTAACCTTTTAACAAATCTGGAAGTCCAGCCGGACCTTCTTTGTCCATTCCAAACCATTTCGCAATATTATAAACAGTATTATTGCTTGCATATGGTTGAGGGTTTTCGCTTCTCTGAAATTATTTAAATAAATACATAATATTGAATTCAACTAAAAAAATAATTTTATTTTATAAAAATGATTTTGTTGAAATAAAGTATATAAATTTTAATTTACCGTGCAGTTGACATCCCAATTATTATGTTTAATGTATTGAATCTGATACAACATTTTAGTGACCATTAAAAGCGATATTATCGCGGACATCACGTTAATCGCATTTATCTGTACGTTTGTTTTAAAATTGATTATTATGACTACGGCGACGATAAAGAAGAAATTTATTGCGCATACCTAAAACAATATTTAATCATATAATTAATTTTTCATTTTTAAAATTATAAGGCAAATTATAATAATATATAATTTTACTTACATCATCGACACACAGAAGAACAAATGAAATAAAAACAATTTTCTGCATATGTATTTCGAGAAAGAGCCAAATGTAATTGTAAAAATTTACAAGATGTTTTGTCACTTTTCGAAATAACGCAATTCTCTCTAATTTTGACATATCTGTAATTAATAACATTTAATAATAACATTATGTTAAAATAATAATAATTTGTTTACTAGAAAACAAATAAAAGCGTTATACGTTTTAATTGCTTCAACGTGTATATCGTATGTTTTTCATCTTCGGTAAGCGTAACATCAGCTGGTGAAGATGTTGGAATATTCATGCTAGGAGAATATCCCAGACTAGCGCGTCTGAATGAGTTCTCAGGCCTAAAATTAATAAAGAAGAAGACTTTTAAATATAGCCATTATATTATAAATAATAATTTCTTTTACAAACCCTAATCTATCGATATTGGTGACCTCAAGAAAATCCTTATGGAAATAATGAATCTGCAATACTGTAATGATTACGAAAAACGTTGGTATTAACAATTTCACGAACAAATCTTTGGTCTTATAACTCTCCAATCCAATATCCTTTTGTCTGAAATGAAAAGAAAAAAGATACATATGTTTGCTGTAAAATTCAAATGTCTAATAATTAAATAATGATCACTCACAATTCTTTATCTATACCGAGCTTCTCCCAATAACCTGGGAAATATTGGAACTGATAAGTGTAAACAAGGATTAACATGATGATTGAATATCCAATGACTGTTAACCAAAATACGTACATCATTCTTCTCCATGCTATCCACGATATCTGAAATTTTGCAATCAAATATTTGATACTTTCTATTAACAAGCTTCGAATAGATATTTCTCAGGGTCAAGATTCAAATAGAGTACCTGAAATGTGATGACAAAGATGAGGAATAACGACATATAAACGATTCTGAACATGGTCATGCGTTCGCCTGTAATGCCGCAAATGAACAGCATGATTGCTACCACAGCAATCCAGAATTTTGTTAATAAATTTTTCAAAAGTTTTCCTATGTTTTTCATAAACTTGCTTTTGATCTCCGGTGTCTCGTGACTCATAGCAGTTGTGGCTGTCGAGACAGACACATGTAGCGGCGCGACCATATCTCTTAGAGTAGAAGATCGTCTTTGTTGCGTTCGTTCTGCCATATATTGTTTCATAGTGATCCAGAACATTGATATAAACACACACTATAAATGAATAAATTACTTGTCAAATATAAGATTTTTAGATATATTAATTTTAAGATATATTAATAACTTAACTTTAAGATATATTAATTAATAAAATAAAAATATTTTGAAAATTAATTATTTATGATTAAGTTATTTTAATGGCAAATTTATTTTTTCGCAATATTATATTTTTTATTAGTAAATGATATTGTGTACCTTAACTATGAGATGCCATCGACCAAGTTCATCGGCTTTGCTGAATCCAATTTCAGAAATCTTGATTTCGCCTATTACTCTCGGTAATTCTTGATCGTTTAAGTCCATACTGTATACATACTGTCCGAGAAGTAAGAGTGTTGCATAAAACACAATAAAGGGAGAACATTTCATCATGGAAGCACGTTTATTGGGAACCATCCATAGAATTAGAGCCCATAGGAGCAGAACAAATGTCGTCCAACTGTGATACATAATGCTCCATGTCTGAAAAATAATAAAAAGAATAATAGTAAAATTCTACTAAAATAATCGGTTTAATTATTTATAGTTTTTATTTTATAAATTTTGTTAATTATATATAAGTAATCATACTTACCATCATTATTATGTTTGTAGCAAGGTATGATGAATTTATAATTAATTGGAAAATAGAGTATACTGCCATAATTATTTGTTCAACGATACCTGGTGTTTCATCAGATGCCCCTAATTTAAAGAATTATTAATTATTTTATTCAATTTATCTTTACACAAAAATATTTTGTATGTTTAAATATTTATTTATATTACCTTCACTGAGACTTCGCATTTGTATAGTATCATTTTGACCATCCTGATTGACAATAATACTTCCGGTAGTGGAATCTTGAAGAAGCCCTGCTCTTCCGGATCCAAATCGCATCAACTATAAAAGCAGATCAAATATTTTCTAATACACTAATTGTTTTATAATATTATTTTATTTTATAACAAATTTTTTACTATCATGTTTCTTGCATTGTACTAAATTAATATTTTTAAATTAATTTTTCTAATTTTTTTAATTTCCTACGATAATGGAAGACTTCATACAAAATGTACGAAATATGCATTTACCTTCACCATTCTATTAATGTTAGCTAAAATCTTGTTAATAATAATGATTGCATGTATGAAAATTATGTGAAATTAATTCATGCAAATGTACGCCAGATCACGAGATTATTTGTTTGAGCAAAATCTCGTACCGGCAAAGTTGATTTATATTACAATATGCGCAAGTGCGGAGCGTATTGTTAGTGATTAATTAATCATGCGTATTCAACTGGTATACGTACAGGTGTTCGCTCGTCGATCGTTGCTAACGACGAATCTACGACCAGCTTCTAAAACAATGGCAAACTAAACATAGCAGCATCCAAACGGAAAATGGTTTTGCTCAGCATTAAACAACAACTGCACATCTGGAAGGCGATAGCAAATAAGAATACGAAAAGTATTTTAAAATAGGCAAAACAGCGTTTACACACAATATCAATTCTTGGAGAAAATTTGTTAGGCAGAGATTGTTGATAAACAAAGCTGCACGATTTTAGGACATTAATATTAATGTCTTCTACATATACACATCAATTAAGTGTAATTAATATGTATTGTTGTCATATATTTTATATAATATCAAAAAATACAGAAAGTTTATTACACATCTAATCAGCAGAAATAACATAGAGAAAGCTACGAAGAAAAGTATAATAAATATAATAAAGATATATAAATATATTAAAAAATGAAATGTTAAACTGTAAACAAATTGAAAATTAAAAAGTAAATAGTAAAGATCTTAAACGATATAATAAAAGAAAATAAAAAATAAAAAAAATTCTAAAAATATATACACAGTATATTTCAAAACTTAACAATATAAAAAATTTTGAGAAATTTTGTTTTTACTAAAATGCACGATTAATAAATAATTAAATTTAGAATAAAAAAAAAACATATGTTATGAAAATACATATAGAATAAGAAACTTTATATAAACTTTTCGTATTCAATGCAATACATGTCGGTAAAATGAGAATCTGAAATAAAATGTAGTTGAGAGCGAAGTGAAAGTTGCATAATCACAAATATATAGAAATAGCAATCATATATCGAGTCGGCTCCCATATGAAACAAATCCTTACGCGAGCCTTACGTCGCGCTGATTGCCATCTTTGAGAAGGTGTTCTGCGTCTGATGGACACGTGCCTGGACAATGGCGTGTCCAGATTTTCCAGTCTGTCGCTTAATCGTTTTGCTTCCTTTTCCTGTAACGCCTCGTTAGTACAAGCAAGCTTGTTTTCAATAAAATTTTTGACAAATTAAAATCAACAAAATCGTCAAAATTCTATAAATATATTTATAAAATTAAGAAAGTCAAGATTTTTTAAATGTTCAGTAATTTTTATTATTTTGTCTATTTATAAAAAAATGAAATTTTGGAATATAATGAAACATAATTAATAATGAAATATTATATATATATATATATATATATATATATATATATGTGTGTGTGTGTGTGTGTGTGTAGTTATTAGTTAAGTAAAAGTATATTATATA